ACACCCTTTTTTTTCTCCGTCTGATATTCCCCAAAGGTGCCCCGTCCTCTAATTTGTGCTCTGATGAGAATCTCAGCATCAGAGGAGGCAGTTTTTCTCTGCAGGGGAGCCTTGTAAAATACAGCTGTCCAGAAGGCTATTACCCAACCGTTACAATCCGTCGCTGTTACAGGGGAAGATGGAACCCGATGCCAGAAAAAAAGAAAACCCCAGAATGCAAGAGTAAGCAACACATTATGAGACAAACGTGATCTTACTCTAACTGAAAACACAACCACATTTTCCATTTCAAGGTACTCATAAAACCATTCCTTTTGTCCCAGAAATCACATGTCCTAATCCTCGTGGATTTGAAAATGGAGAGGTGTATCCATCTTTGCCAAGGTATTTCGTGAACGACACAATCAACTACTCGTGTCATTCAGGCTACATATTTCGTGGCTCAGGGACTCGTGTTTGCCAGTTGAATGGGAAGTGGAGTGGAAGCACAGCCGTCTGTGGAAGAAACTGTGAGTGAGAAGTCTCTATGTGCTGTATAGTGCAATAAGCACAGTTACTGGTTCATGAATGCCCTACAGATTTGTTAAGCATTGGTCCTTAATATCTTTCATTATCAAACAGCTGATCACTGCCCTGATCCCGGCATTCCCGCTGGGTCTACAAAATTTGGCAACAATTTTAACATTGACGACAAAGTCACGTACCGCTGTGACAGAACATTGACTCTGGTTGGTTCCAAAGAGCGAGTCTGTCAGGACGATGGCCAGTGGTCAGGAACAGAGCCAGAATGTTACGGTAAAACCTTCCTCTTCCTGTTCAAAGTACACTGCACTAATTTTACTGAAAGTGCAGCTTTGCTAATGTTGTTGTGTAAATACAGCTCATTTCACATACGACACCCCAGAAGAAGCCTCAGATGGTTTCAGCAGTTCTCTAAAGTCCAATCTAGAGCTTTCTAAACAACATGAAGAAACAGGTAGTCTTGTGCAACTCACGCTGCCTTCTTCCTCTGCAAGACAACACATACTTTTGTTTGTCACCACAACCTTTTTGAACGAAACCCGTTTCCTGTGTCAGATCAGTACGGGAAGAAAATACAAGTGCAAAAAGGTGGAAAACTCGACATCTACATTGCCCTGGATGTATCTGACAGCATAAAAGAAGATGACTTTAAAGAGGCAAAAAAGGTCATCAAAACACTCATAGAAAAGGTATATGAAATGAACAGTGTGTTGATAACCATCATTTCAACATTCTTCGATATTTCTGCCCCATTATGTCCCATTAGTATATTTGTGTACCATTACAAGTTAATGTAAGGTATTATATTTTTAATTATGAACATAATAAAGATTTGATCCTGTGTTAATTACCGACAGATCAGTTATTACGAGGTCTCCCCAAACTATGAGATCCTGATTTTTGCCACAGACGTCAGCCGGGTAGTCTCAATGAGGGACTTCAAGACCGGGCAAGGAAATAACCTGGAAAAAATCCTTAAAAGGCTGGACGATTATACATATGACAGTAAGTGTTTTGTTTTAGTATTGCAAAAGTTCAAATGCATTTGTTCAGCTTCGTATAATATTTGAATATCCTGACTTTTTATGTGACTAACAGGTAAAGGTGATCGAACAGGAACTAATATTGCCCAGGCCTATAAGAACATTTTAGAGAGTATGAAAATAGAACAGGTGACCAATAACGAAGACTTCATGCAGACCCAGCATATCGTCATCATGTTCACTGATGGTATGATGACAATATTATACTTGGTGGTTACCACTGAAACTGTTAAAGTCTATTTAGTCAGGCTACTAAACTAAACAAATCAGAAAAAAGTAAACTAACTAAAGCTCTATATTTTGTCTTTAGGTCAGGCCAACATGGGTGGTAGCCCAAAAATCCCGGTGGAACAGATCAAAAATCTTGTAATACAAAGTAATCCTTCACGAGAGGACAAACTTGGTGAGGAAGAACATGAATCATCTTTGAGATTAAACTATAAACATTAACAAATCTTCAAATACATCTCGATTATATTTAATAACTCGGTTTATTATTGATATATTTCTTGGTTTGTCGGAAAGATCTGTATGTGTTTGGGATGGGAGAGGACGTGCATGCTGACGACATTAATGATTTGAAGACTGATCGGGGAAATGAGAAGTTTTTCTTCAAACTTAAGAACTTGAAAGATTTGAAGGAGACATTTGACAACATGATTGGTATTTCATTGTGTCTTTTGGAAATATAAATTTAAGATAATTATTGTCCTATGTAGGCTATTCATTTCAAGTCAATATATGTATATGTTAATATAATGATTTCATATATAATTCTCCTTGCTTCTCCCTTAACAGATGAGGGCACCAGTGTAGCATTATGTGGACTTTACAGAGATTACGATGATGATTCCAACGCCCGCCGTCAATACCCCTGGTTGGCAAAGATCAGTGTGACTGTGGGTATCCCTATATCGTAGCCTTACTTCTTATTTAAAAAAAAGAAAATATTAAATTAATAACTTAGCATCATCACCACATTAGTTCTATAAACATGCAAATTTGTTTTGAATTATAACGTCCGTTCTCTGATGATTTTGCAGCGCAGCAATGGAAGAATCTCGAACTGCATGGGGTCACTAGTCACCTCAACCTTTATCTTGACAGCGGCTCACTGCTTCAATTTCGGTGACACGCATGATAAAATAACTGTTGATATTGGTTCGAATATCCGAGGTAATGTTATGTCTTCAACCATATCAGTTAGAATATGCATAATGGTGTGAATCTCATCAGTGTTGTTTCCTTTACTCTTATAGGGATAAAAGTGAAGCAGTACATACCTCATCCTCGCTATAACCTCAAAGCAAAAAAGGACATGGGAATACCTGAATATTACGAATTTGACGTAGCTCTTATTCAATTGGAGAAACCCGTAATTATGGACCTCAATCTTCGGTGAGGAATGCAGCTCATGAGTTTACGCTACTAAAAAGTGTTAAAATAGTGTAATGAATGAATGGCATATTGTGTATGTCTGTACAGGCCAATCTGCATCCCATGCACCAAGGAAACCAGTGGAGCTCTGAGACTTTCAGATAAAGAAGGAACGTGCAAAAAACATAGTAAGTTGCAATTGTCAGTAATGCTGCATGCATAATTCGTTTTGTGGATTCTCAAAAAAAAAAAAATGCTGGGTTAAAAACAAACATTTCTAAGTTATTGGGCAACTGGGTAAAAATATCCCAATAAAATGACACAACAGGCTGAACCGCATTTGGGACAACCGCATTTTATATCTTGTAACATTTAAACTGTTTCTACAGAGGAAGTGATAATGAGTGCAGACACTGTGGATGCTGCTTTCATGACTGACAGGAAGAGAAAAACTGAGAAGAAGTTCATCAAAATCAAGCAGGGAAAATGGGTAATGATGTGTTTATGCTGAACATTGGGTTATCCTTTGATTGTTTTCCTTATATTTGTATTAATTTGTGGTTTCATTAAGTGAATACAGGATCTCAAAAGGGAATGGACTTATTAGTAATAATAGTTTAATTAAAAGCATTACCTCAACAGTTGAATTAATATGTCCTTTTTCTTCAGCGGGATGCTTGTGTTGAAGATGCCAAAAAAGCTCAGGGAATTACTGCGGAAAATGCTGAAGATATCGTTACAGATAATTTTCTGTGCAGTGGTGGGATTGAACCTACTAGAGACGATATTGCCTGCAAAGGTACGTTTGATTTCGCAAGAGTGCCTAATATTTGGATCTAATCTACAATTTTTGGTGTTGCTATCATTATCAAAATGTCATATAGCAACTCATTATCCTTAGTAAATTGAATTTGCTAAAATATCTGTGCATGTCATCAACAGGTGACTCTGGAGGGGCCACTTTTGTGGTTCCTGGTAATCGAACGGTCCAGGTGAGATTTTGAATAATTTTTCATGTTTGTTGATTTCAAATCACCTGCATACTCTTCTGAAGACTTAGCCATTCATAGCTATTTTTTTTAGAGATGTTTGTTTTAAAATCGGAATAATCTTGGACAGGTTGGTATCATAAGCTGGGGAGTGGAGGATCGGTGCGCGGGCAACCCGAGCGCATCGTCTGAAGCACATTCCAGAGATTACCATACAAGTCTGTTCAGTGCAGAAGTACGCTCATTCCTTAAAGACTACCTAGGAAATGGCGCACTGGGAACCCCTCTTACGTTCTTGTGAACATTGTTTTTAACAGTAGTTCAGAAATGTTGTGCATGCCTCTCAGTTAAATAAACATTTCTATTGTCCTTTCCTACTTTAAACTTTGTTGCAATTTGTAATAAATGTGACACAATAAAAGCTTAGGCTAATAATAAAAAGCATTAACATATTCATTTAACCTATATGTTGTTTTTGTCATTTTGAATTTTAAATTATAATCCAGTACAAGTACCAAGTGTGGTTAATTATCATTGAATTTAATGAATCTGGGGCCGTGTACACGGCACCGGTTTTATCATTTTTTGTATGTGTTTTTGCAGTTCATTTAGGAGGCCAGAAAATGTAAACTTTCGAAAGTTTTGCTTCAAAGTGCAAGATTTTTATTTGTGATTACATGTATGTTTTGAATTTTATAATTTGTTTGTAGTGTATACCTGTTTGTTTTCATGTTCTATGTAAAAAGGCTAAATTTGGCTTTATTTTCTATGTGACATTACCTTACAGTTATTTATCTTTCATTGTGTCATGTTTCTCAATAAAAAAATAATTATGATGTTAATATGTTAATATGTTTATAATGCAAATGTGCTAATATAATATAATATAATATAATATAATATAATATAATATAATATAATATAATATAATATAATATAATATAATATAATATAATATAATATAATATAATATAATATAATATAATAATATTTTTTTTCCCGGAACCAATTATTACAATGAACCTGTTCTGGAGGAAGCGTTTTAATGTAGCGCCTTTGAGCTCTTCCGCTGGAGTGGTTGCTATAGGAACTAGGAAAGCCGATCTGAGGATTACAGCAGACAATCGAAGCAGATTGATTTTCACTGCCTAGGTTAATAAAAAGAATTTGAAAATAGTAAAACCGTCATGTCCTCTGTTTCCCAGGAGCTGAAGGACACGTGAGTAGTTATATGCGTATTCACGAGGCTTTCTCTTGAAAAGAGTGGGTTAAAATGCGATTGGCATTAGCATGTTGACATAGCATATTCGAAAAACTTGAGATTTCATTAAAATATAATAAATAATGGCAGATCCTTTTATAATAGCAGAGCTAAACACCTATGATTTGCTCAAATATGTCTTCACAATAAATAATACAACAGAGTTGGAGTGTTTTCAAATCCAGTGGATAGAAATAAATTCCGACGGAACGTAACATTACCGATGGTTTTATAATAAGATGCTAGTTTATTGGTAGTAGTAGTAAGTTTCTCCTGTGCTTTTTTAGTTCAGTGGCCAGCTCCAAATGGCTTGATGCCCACTATGACCCAGTCGCCAATCTATACACCTTTTCCTCTTGCATTGGTAAGTCCCTTGAGTCACATGAACTTTCACAATAACTTCCATATCTGCTGTTTAGCCAATCTCCCCTGCTCAATCTTCCTGTTATTTCCCACAGCTCTTTCAGATTTGCATGGAGATGGTGAGAATAAGGTGAGAATGTGTGTTTATAGCATTGTGTCCCTTGTTAGAAAGATGCACACTTATAGTTTACTTACTATAACTTTACTCACTTACAAAAACTTTAAATGATCCCATAATTTACTCACCCTCAAGCCATCCTAGTAGTATATGAGTAAAAGAGTGAATAAAGAGTGATTTCTGTGCACCAGCTGGTGGTGGGTGATCTTGGCACGGGAGTGTGTCACATGAAGCTAAAGGTGTACCGTGGCACTGGCCTGTTGAGTGAGAGCACCCTGCTGGACTTGCCCACTGGACTGGTCTCCTTCCTCATGGACCTGCATGAGCCACGGACACCGGCCATCGCTGTGGCCTCTGGTCCCTTCATATACGTCTACAAGAACCTGAGGCCCTACTTCAAGTTCACGCTGCCTAGTCTGGAGGTGAACGCTCTGGAGCAGGACGTCTGGAGTCAGGCCAGGGAGGTGAGCTGTTCATGTCGCACATTCAGCTCTATGCTTTGAATGAATGAATGAGGCATTTATATAGTGCTTTACTATGTACCACTGTACACCCAAAGCGCTTTACAATCATATGATGGGGATTCTCCTCAACCACCACCAGTGTGCAGCATCCACTTGGATGATGTGACGGCAGCCACAGTACAACAGCACTAGTACGCTCAATACACAGAGAGGAGAGACAGAGTGATAAAGCCAATTGAGTGGATGTGGATTATTAGGAGGCCATGATTGATAAGGGCCATTGGAGGGAATTTGGCCAGGACACTGGGGTTACACCCTTGCATCATGCCGTGTGTGAGGCTGCCATATGTTTACTGTAATGAATACTGGATGTGTTTTGACTTTTAGGACATGATTGATCCAATGACCCTTAAAGAGATGTTAGAAGGATTGAGGTGAGTTACTGTATATATTTAGTGTTTTAGACAATGCACTGCAGTTGTAATGGCTTTTAGAGTACAGGCTTGATACAATACATGTGTATTTTATAGTTAGAGTACTGTAGATAATTGTAATTTTGTCTTTTGAACAGGGACAAAGCTGAAATTCCACTCTCTGTCAGATCGCTACGGTAAAAACTGTTCCCATATTAAATCTGTTCATATTAACCTTATTAAGATTATGAATGTAGTATATTAATTATACTATAGTATATACAGCATGTATATATATATATATATATATATGTGTGTGTGTGTATGTATGTATATATTATAAATGATATTATTGATACTATTATTAACATACTATAATAATAAACTTAATAACGTTATAATATTTAAAAAAACTGTTTTGTTAAAATATTGTTTTTCTGATTTTTAACAAAATTTTTTGCAAAAAAACAAGGAATTGGAAAAACTTGGATTTTTTCCAAAATAAGTCTTTATACAAAAATAAATATAAAATATAATATATAAACCTTTCTCAAAGTCATATGGTACAACCAACATGCAGAAAAAAATCATAAAAAAATATATATTTTTTATCTATTTATTAATTAATTGACTTTCTTTTGTGATTTATTCAGGTTCCTCATGCTTGAGCCACAGGAAATGGAGAGTTTTGTTCATCTTTACAAAGAACAGCCTATACGTAGACAGGTGCCAATATTGGAATACATATACACTGTCACTCACACATAGATGGCCAAAAACAATTGCACTAACATGGCTGTTGTCTCTTTGTTTGTCTCAGACGGTCATTACCTGTATAGGGACGATGAAGAAGAACATGGCAGATGAGGATGCGGTTAGCTGCCTAGTGATTGGCACAGAGAACGGTGATGTTTACATATTAGATCCAGAAGCCTTTACCATTCTCTATAAGGTCAGCATATTCATATCTGCTTTATGTGTTTGTAGTTTCTTATTATGTATTGACTTTACATGTAGTTTTAAATAAACTGATTTCCTAAAAAGAATGAACTCTTTACTGTGAGTTTCCCTGTGTGTTTTCAGATATCACTGCCTAGTACAGCCACCCTAATGGACGTGACGGGTCAGTTTGATGTGGAATTCCGTATCACTGTGGCCTGTCGCAACGGCAATATCTACATATTACGCAGGTAATTGATTGAGTTAAAACTTTTAAACATTTTTTGCCGTCCAAGAGGATTTTCAAAACTTGTAATCAGTTGAACCAATTGCTTTACAAAATAAATTTCAAAGCACTCAAAACTGGACATGATGAGGATGTCTGCTGGTTAAATACATGTATGCATTGTAAATGTGTTTTCATTGAAGTTTCAAATGTTCATATGTATTTTTAATACCTCCCCCCGTGACATTTTCAAAGACTCTTTCCTGAAATCATGTGACTTGGTCAGTTAGATACGTGCTCTAAACCAGTGGATTAGAGAATGCTTTTTGAAGCAGTCTCTATCAAGATCTTGATCCACAGATCAGAGTTTGGAACGCATTGAAATGCGAAACTCCTTCGCATGAGCTTGTGTTTCCAGTTTCCAGCATTCGCATACGTATAAATGGAAGTCAGTGAAGCGAAAAGTACATTGTGACTGTCCTTTTAGTGCAACTTGTATGGAAGATTATTTCCACCATGGAAAAACAATGCTAGGTTTTTGCTTTTTATGCAATTCTGACATTTTCCTTTTAGTTCTGAGTGACGTATTTTCTCGGTATTCTGAGTATACATTATTATACAATCCTTATAAAGAGCATGCATCTAACTGACCAAGTCACATGATTTCAGGAATGAGTCTATGTTCTGTCCTACTACTTCAGAACATATAGAATTCTGACTTTTTCCTTGTATTGCAGTTGCGATCTTATAGCTAATGATTCTGAATTTATTACTCGGAATTCTGAGTGACTTCTTATTTTCTCAGTATTCTGAGTTTACATTTCACAAGTTCCCCCACCCCCAACACACACACACACGCACTGATTTCCTAAAAAGCATACACATTTCCCCAACCTCATACAGATGAGGAATAAAAAGCAAGAATTACAAGATATAAACAGAAAAAGTCAGAACTGTGAGTTTGTATCTAAAAAAAAAAAAAAAAAAAGATAAGGTAAGGTAAGGTAAATGACAAGTGTGACCTTTTTTCTCTGAATTCCGAGTTTGTATCTCACAATTCTGAGAAAAAAGTATGAATTGGGAAAATCACACTTGTCATGTACCTTTACCTTTTTTTATTCCGTGTCGGAAGCAAGCTCACATAAACCTGTGATAACGTTTCAAAAAAGCCAATAAATAGGTGAGCAATACTCGCTGCCATTTTTTATTTTTTTTGCCTTAAAGGGATTCCCCAAAGCCCAAGTACTGCATTGAGCTGTCTTCTCACCCAGTAGGACTGGTGAGGATGGGAAAGAATGTAGTTGTAGGATGTACCGATGAGACGCTGCATGGTTACACTCAAAAGGTATGATACATGTATCCATATCTGTCACAATAACAATAATGCCTCAAAAACTGATAATGATAACCTTCTAATGAATACTCCTGAAGGGGAAAAAGCTGTGGACAGCTTATTTGCCAGCCCCTGTTACCACCATGGCACTGATGGACCTCCCCACACGAGGATTCCAGGCTGTTCTGGTGGGTCTGGCCAACTGTGAAGTACACATGTACAGAGACAAAAATCTGATCAGCACCATCAAAACACCAGTAAGAACTGTCATGACTCAATGGGATCATATTGAAGTGTGAAGTTGAAGTGTCCCTGGTCTCATTATCAGAGACTTTAATTTCTGTCTTACAGGACGTAGTGACAAGCATTTGTTTCGGGCGCTATGGACGGGAGGATGGCACTCTGATAATGACCACCAAAGGTAATAACGTATGTTACATGGTAGATAAAGCAACAGTGAGATTGGATACAATGCATTTTAAATGTTTCAACTGTCTCCAGGAGGAGGTTTGATCGTGAAGATCCTCAAGAGGACGGCTGTGTTTGATGACAGAGACTCGGCCCCTGGACCCCCAATAGCCCAGAGCATCCGCCTGAACGTGCCCAAGAAGACCAAGCTCTATGTGGACCAGACTTTGAGAGAGCGTGAAAATGCAGTTGGTTAGTGATGAACCGAAATTATTATTTTTACAGAAACACCTAAAAAGAAATGAACTCTTTCCCCACCATTGACGTATATTTCTGGCAATCCATGTTTTCAGTGTTATACGGTAGGGGAGCTATTACACATCCTATGAAACAGTAGAGAATCTCTGGATCAAAACATTGGCAGAAACAAGTGATAAATGCATTGCTTACGCACATTTAGAATAACGCCACCATAAAACATTAAACCGTATATAAATTAAAACTGCCTAACGTTACAGAATTAAATGTCGACCCAGGATGAGCTATAGGACTGTGTAAGGTTTGGGAGTGTTGATCATCGTTTTGATCATCGTTCTGAATCCTATCCGGACGTAATCTTTGATAATTTTATTCCTTAATTTTTTTTTTTCAGAATGTTTCTTTTTTCTTTCTTTTTTTTTTTTACCCACATTCAAGTATTGAATTCATGGCTTATAATGCTTTAATGAAAACTTTTTTCTAAATCCCTATGGGAGAAATGAAAGGAAAATATACTTCTGAAAAATGGATTGCACTGTTGCACTGTACAGAGAACACTCATTATAACATCCTATGATTTGGGATGCACTAATTCTATTTTAGAATACTAATTAGGATAGATAGTATGTGAATTGGGACACAGTAGCTGTGTTTATTGCAGCCCTGAGAGGACTACAGACACTCAATTTTTATACTCTTCTTTTCAGAGTACATTTTAAACATGTATTGGTATATAAAGACAGTTTAAACAAATTTGGGAAAAAGTGTTTTAGAAAAAAAACTGCCTACCGTGCCTTTAAAGCAGGGGCTCTTTTCTTTTAATATATTGCATGTTCAGCTATTCATAGAAGAAAAAAAAATTCTGGTGGAATTTTGTGAAAATGATCAGAAATGCTGACTATGCTAAAGTTTTCCCTTTTCTGAAAACCGAAACCGTCTAGTTTTTATTATTAAGTTTCACTGAGTAACTGAGCGTTTGCTGTTCAGGGTGTTGTTTTCTCAAGTGATAAATGAAACCAATTTGAACAAATCTTACATATTGCAGATTACATACTGGTCAAAACTTTGTTTGTTAATGTTTTTGTAAAAAGTCTCTTCTGCTCAACCAGGCTGCATTTGTTAGATCAAAAATACAGTAAAAATACTAAAATTATGAAATATTCTTACAATTTAAAATCACTTTTTTATTGTAATATATTTTAAAATGTGAAATGATGGTAAAACTGAATTTTTGAGCATCAATACTCCAGTCTTCAGTGTGGTAATCATTCTGATATGCTGATTTGTTGCCTTAATAAACATTATATCATTATCAATATTTACATATTGTAGCATAATTTTTGGCCATGGTGAAAAGTGTCCACCCACACATCTGACATGTTTATCTTTTGTATTTCACATTTTGCGAATAAAATAGATGCTGACACTGTCAAAACACGCCATTGAAGAAGTGGTTTTCTGTTATTCCTTATTAGCCTCTTGTTGCTTTTTCTATGCAGCCATGCACCGAGCTTTTCAGATGGATCTAAGCAGGCTGCGTCTAGCTGCTGCTCGTGCTTATGTCAAAGCCCTGGAGTCCAGTCTCGCGCCCATGTCTGCGAGCCTGACCGAGCCTCTCAAGATGAACGCAGTGGTAAGTTGTGCAATACTGAGTGCGTGAACAAGATGAAACCGGATGAGCGATACTGGTCTCCACTTCTGCTTTCTGTTCCTGCTAGGTTCAAGGGCTGGGCCCATCCTTCAAGCTCACTCTGAACATCCAGAACACTGCAGCGTCTCGTCCGGTCATGAACCTGGCCATCAGTTTTCTGTATGATGAAAGTTTGTACAGCATGAGGACAGCCTTCTTCAAGGTGACCTCAGCTGAGCAGTTTCATGATGACTATTCTTGCCTGATAAGTGCTGACTTTTTATGTGTAGTTATTAATGTTTTACTGAAAACAGTGAATTGTTGTGTGTATGTAGATTCCCTTGCTGGTTCCAGGCCTGAATTACCCCATTGACACTTTTGTGGAGTGCTTGAGTGACAAAGGCATCTCTGACATCATCAAAGTAAGACTCGCACACAGTTAGAACATTAATATCCGAATGAAATATGCAAATTCCACAATATACCAATATTAGCCCCAAAGTTTTATACAAAACTGAATTAACCATTTGATTTACCGAATAATAACTAGGCGTCGCACACATGCATACAGTATAACAGGGTATCTGCACATTTTTTGACAGCAAATTTAATGACTTTTTTTTAAGTCCTCTTACATTATGAAAGTCCTCTAACATTATGAACATATTTACTGTCACTTTCTTATAATAAGGAACTGACAGTAAATACTTTCATAATGTTACAAAATATTTATACTTCAAATGCTTCCTCAGAAATGATGAAATGATTCTTTAGCACCAAATCAGCATATTCGATTGATGTCATATCATATATTAGAAGGAATGTTTTTTCACGGAAGACTGAACAAGAACAAATTACATTTAATTACTATTTAAAATATTTAAATAGAAATGGTTATTTTAAATTGTAATATATATATATATATATACACACACACACACACACACACACACAATATTACATAATTTTTGATCAAATAAATGCAGCCTTGGTTTAAATAGACAATCAAAATAATCGATCCCAAACTTTTGAATGGCAGTGTGTGTATAAAATGTAGGTAAAACAGTGTTTATCTAAAATGCTATGGCATAAGTAATCTATTCATGTCTAGATTTCTAAATAGGAACATGATGCCCATATACAGTCCCATAATGTACTACACAAAGTATTGATTACTGTATGCATGAAATCAAGCTGATGTTTGTTGTTATGTTTCTGATTTCAGGTGTTTGTGCTGAGAGAAGGAAAGAGTGCTCCTCTCCTCACCGCCCACATCAACATGCCTGTGAGTGAAGGACTTGCACTGAACTGAGAGCGAGATGTGTCGTCTACCTGAGCTACACAGGCGTCTTCAACTCTCGCTGTGCTCCTAGCAGCAGCAGTAGTTAGCAGCGAGGCTTCTCCAGGCAGCTGCCTGAAACGTCACAGGAGTAAGGAGAAGCTTGTGCTGGCCGTAGAGCCGGTGCTTCCTGTAGTTTAGATCAGGATCGAGGGAGGCGTGTCCTCACAGGTAATACCTTTTTTTTGGATAGTGACTGGAGCCTTTGATTGACAGCTGTGAGGCCAAGTGCTCCATAGTTCCATGATGTTTATTTGTGGTAGTGATGTATATTTGTATGTAAATTCATATTTATTATTCCTGATGTAATGATCACACACAAACTCAATTATGAGACTTTTTTGACTTTTGTTTTAATATAATGATTCATTACATAATCAGTGTAATGGTTTATGGGGGTAATCTTGCAAAACCGTTCAAGGCAGAGAAGTAAAAGATTAGGTGTGTCCCAATCACTGATCTATATAATAGTCATTATATACAGTAGATCAGTGGTCCCAATTCACATACTTATGCACTATTCTATGACGTTTTGTTGTATAAATAGTCTGAAGAGCACTTTAAATACCTGGATGATGCACAAAATTAACCGAAAAAACGAAGGTGGAATGTTTAACCCTTCATGCACTCAACTGTCCTATCAGAGGGGCATCAGAATTCAATGTTGAATGACAAAATAACCATATGAAATTTATACAATACATGGTTGAGTACATAGTGCATAGAGTATAAGTGCAGTGTTTCATCTGGGACACAACTATTGTGTACTAATTTTAAAGCACACACATGAAGAGGCACAAGGGTGAAAGGTAAAGAGCAGCCAGAGCTGTTGACGACTGACCCTCCGCTAAGCCCTGTTACTGCTGAACACCATATTATCAGACAAGCTTTTGCTCATCTATTCTGTATGTCTATGGAATTCCATGTGTTTTAAAGATTTTAACCCGGTTTACGGGCAATATAAATAGTGGCACGGTACCAAAAAAGGATAGAGACAATATTTTTTTATATATTTTAGAGAAAAAAAATGGTCTGAGTGAGCATCAGTAACCAAATGGAGTGGGGCTTAGCTAAAGGTCAATTCATTCTCTCTCTGTACAGTGCAACAGTGCAATCCATTTTTCAGAAGTATATTTTCCTTTCATTTCTCCCATAGGGATTTAGAAAAAAGTTTCCATTAAAGCGTTATAAGCCATGAATCAAGACAACCAGCTACAAGGTGAATCATAACATTACAAACTTTGATTTGAAGCAAAAAAGCATTTGAAAATCGGACTAAAATAAAAACATACAAGACTGTGCACTTACCAGCTTCAGTGACCTACAATCCCATGAAAAATTGCAAACAGCATAATCATTTAAAACGGATGGAGAAATGTGACACTGCTCATTTAAAAATGCTAATTATATATATTAACAATATGCTTTAAGTGTATTGCAAAATATGAACATGTATACAAATATTTAAGCATTTTGAGAGCACAGGGAGACAGACTCGATTGGCAGTGTTTCATGGGATTGGGCAGAACTAATTTGATCTTTTGCGTTTCGACTGGTGGAATTTTCTGTATTGCATCATGGGTGATGCAGTTTTTCACCACAAACAGATTATTTTAAAACAAAGTATAATGCAGGCTAACCGTTAATAACAGCACAGAGAAACGATAACGTTGGAATCACTTTCACAGCGATTTTATCCAGCTGATGAATGATAAAAACATTCACAGCCAGTCAGAATTCATCCTGCTGTAATGAGCTTGAGCATTTAAAGTGACAGACAAGCAGGCACTTCTAATAAACAGAACAAAATCATCCACTGATGTGGACGATAATATAGTTATCTTTATAGTTATCATTCTTGGTGTGAACAGGCCTTAAGGCCTAAGGTTTATAAGTTATCTTAAGGTGGTGGTTGAGGAGATTCCCCCTTCTATGTAAAGTGCTTTGAGTGCTGAGAAACGCGCTATATAAATGTAATGAATTATTATTATTATTATTATTATTATTAAAAATCAATTTTCCTATGGAGAAAACGAATGGAGTTTTTACTTCCTGAAACCCAACTGTTGCACTCGATTTCACAGTTATAGTCTAAACTTTTACTCAGACTAGTCATTGGCATAAGTACAGATGTTCTCTTTGGCTCAGATACTTTTAAGTTTTGCCTATATTTCTTGCATGCTTGTAAACTTTATTGTACACTACCGTTCAAAAGTTTGGGGTTGGTAAGTTGTTTTTGAAAGAAGTCTCTTCTGCTCACCAAGGCTTCAGTTATTTGATCAAAAATACAAGACAACAGTAATATTGTAAAATATCATTTCAATTTAAATTAACGGTTTTCTATTTTTATATATTACAAAATGTAATCAGCATCATTACTCAATCATTTATTAATATAATGTTGAAAACATTTGTGTTGCCTAATATTTTTGAGGAAACATTTTATTTTAGGATTCTTTGAGTCATAGTTCAAAAGAACAGTATTTATCCGAAATAGAAACTATTAACATTATTTAACACATTTCTGTACTGTTACTTTTGATCCATTTAATTTATCCTTGTTGGCCTCAAACCTTTGAACAGTAGTGTAAACAAAAAATCAGGTTCACTGCTTTTTCTGAGTATATTCTATTGGCTGTTGCATCTCAATATTTGCTTTCCTTTCCTAAATCGTGCACATTGCCAAATACTGCTGGTCAGGCACCCGCTTCATAAACACAACTGAGGTTACATGAGGCATGTAGTAAAGAGGGATTTGGGACTGAGGAAGCAGAGAGGACAAGGAACATCCATCTAAGCAAACATAGTGAGGGTGATCCACTATAAGACAGGGGGGAAAAAAAGAGGGAGAGAAATGTTGCAAACATATATTACTGAGCCACAGAGAGACATTTGCTTTTTGAAGTTCTCATTACTTATGACCAGTTTACCTGGGAGAAGCTGAAGGATACCAAACCATCTTCATCAGTGTCCATTGTTTTAAAGGTTTCTGTTGGAATAAATGTGAACTCTCAACACATCTAGTCCAATTGAATGGGTTACAATTATTGCACTGTGAGTTTTCTACTCGGCACACTTACTGAACATAGTCTCCAGGCGGATCAGACAGGCCACAAAGTTGTCAAAGTCCACGTTGAGGTCTTCCTTTGCATAGCGCAGGATTATCAGCTGGAACAGGTTGTTGGTTAACTTGAAGCCTTATTGAAGCATAAAATCCAAAAAGTCAATCAACATAATTTACCACAGTAATTAGAGATGTGCTTTTTAAAGTGTACCTGCTGATTCTAATGCCAGACGCATTTCATAAGAGCTCATCGTGCCAGACTTGTCCAAGTCAAACTTCCTAAACACAGCCTAATGATTTATTGAAGAAAAGAAAAAATACTGTCCAAGATCTACACTACCATTCAAAAAGTTTGGGGATGGTTAGATAAAAACAAGTGTTTATAGCTCATCATAACATTGGAATATACATCATTTCGATTTTTCATACTATTGGCCTATTGTTCCTTATAATATCGTAATATACATCGCTTCCATTTTTCTTATCAACAGAGACTGAGACCACGGTTAATGTTAATGATTTGCTAAAGCCCGCCCACACGTTGACTGGATTGGTTACAAAGTAGTTTGTGACGTAAGAAACGTTTTTTTTTTTTTCAATGCTGTTTTAAGGAGAAAATACTCATCAATGGTGTTGATTTCTGAATTTGCACATAGACAACATTAAAAACTTGTTTTCACTACAAGGGGTTTTTCATAATTTAGTTTTTTTACTTTTCCAACCCCAAACTTTTGAATAGTTATGCATGTCTAATACTTCATACATACATATACCATAAAGTAAGCATAAAATGTAGCCACTGACAAGATATCGTTTGATCTTCTCCCAGAGCACATGGAAGTCTGTCAGTCCCAGCTTTCCAACACCAGTTGTCTTTATAGCAGGTCAAGGTTTGTTCCAAGATTGTAATACATACTATTCACATTCCTTCAAAGTGGTTCACAAATGCTAATATTCATAAATGTCAAAGTCCTTTTAGGCAAGTCCTGCCACTCGGCCGCCATCTTGGCAACGCCTCCAGGCAGCTATTTCAGACTAACAAGACCAGGCTCCAATCTAAATGAATGGGCAGAGAGTCAGAACTGCACTTTCACTGGTCCCCAGGACATAATAACTGCATATATAGAAACAGCAGTAAAATATGTTAAAAATCGCTGAAAAATTATGACTTTGCCCCAAAATAAGGTTTAAAATGCCCTTTTCCCCACCGGTTATACATTTACTACGCACCAGACGATAGGCTTAAATGTTGCCCGGCTTGACTGTTAAAAGGAGATGATTGGATTTCAGCAGGAGGGGCGGGGCATGTTCATACAACTGCCATATTTGGCGTTACGGGTTTTCCCTATATAGTTGTTTTTAGGATTTAGGAAGTGGCATGTCTCTATATAAATTGTCTCTGTAAATGTGGAGTCTTCAAAGGATACATCCATAAGATTTATCATGGCTCGACAGGCCTCTTTGCCAAATCCGTCAGTTTTTATATCTTTATCTGTAAGAAGAACCAGAAATAAGGTTATTTTATACGTCAGTTGCCTCCTTTCAGGGAATATACAAGGTAAAATATGACCTTAGTTTTTTTCACAGCATATGTCACATGTTGAAAATTAGCACAGAACTAATTGTGAACACTGAAATACGCGTTAAGTGTCCATTAGCACACTCACGTTTGCCAACCACCCGGTTTAGAATCATCTGGAGTTTGGACACATTGATCTCCATTTCCTGTAGAACAAAGTGAGAAAGTCAATGAAGCTATTGAGCATGACAGAAACCCATTAACACCACTTCGTGCTGTCTTACCGGCCCTGCCAGCTTTGCAAATAATGCCTTAAAGCCTGCGTCAATGTCACTCTCCTGGAGTGCAGGCTGCCACAGAAACAACACATTCATTAGCAACAAAACTTCCTAGTATTCATCTATGTGCAGTATTGTTAAAAACATTTCAAAGGGAAACTCACCTCCTCCGGTACAACTGCTGAAATTTCATCATCTAGCTCCCTGCAGTGAAAGTACTACATTTTATTTTCGTTCAGAAACCATCCACAAGAAAGATGGGTCATGGCTCACCACTTTGTGCCAAATTTCAAAGCTGTACATCAATTCAAGTTGTCTGGGCCTGAGCTCATCTCAGATGGTCCAAAAGACCGTGGAAATGTGTGCTGTGGTCAAATGAGTCCACATTTCAGATTGTATTGGGGAAAACGGACATTGAGTTCTCAGTCCAAAAGAAGTAAGGGACAGTCCAGGTCTCGAAAAGTTATTTAAGACATCGTTAAAATAGTCCAAGTGACTACAGTGGCTCAATCTTAAGTTTTTTAAACACTTTTTGTGTGCAAAAAAAACAAACAAAAATAACGACTTTATTTCAACTACTTCAACAACTTAATTTCGTTCTCTCTGGACGATCTGTTGTTGTACGTCACACGCATCACACACATGACCAGCGTCAGCCAATAGCGAACCTACGTGTGACGTTTAACTGACTAGAAGCCCAAAGAGAAGGAAATTAATAGTTGAAATAAAGTCGTTATTTATGTTTGTTTTTGCGCACAAAAAGTGTTCTTGTCACTTGATAAAGTTAAGATTGAGCCACTGTAGTCACTTGGACTATTTTAACGATGTCTTTAATAACTTTTCGAGGCCGGCAAGTTTCAATTCCTCAAGAAGCCTATATGACTAGTATGGAGGAGTGATCCAGCTCTCAGATTTCATCAAAAATATTAATTCGTGTTCCGAAGATGGGGTTGGAACAACATGAGGGTGAGTAAATAAATACTGACAGAATTGTCAGATTATGTTGTTTTATAACCATTCTGAATATACTGTATATTATTTCTTCGTTTGGAAAAAAACAACAACATTACATACATTTCATTTTCTCAAATGGTCACTCACTGGGAGTCAGCAGCCTTTTCAGAAAAGACCCTCAGCACAAAGTCTCCTTCTTTCTGGGGCTCAAAGGTGGAGGGGACGATGATATATTCCCCTGCTGGCAGGCAGAAGCGCGAGCTCACCTCTCGAAGGTTGATGTAGAGCTCGGAACGAGCGCTGGATGTGTGGGTGAGGAAAAAATCACGCTTCAGATGCACACCCACCCTGCCCAGATACTGGCAAGTGGAGGAGGTTCGTATCACTACACACATATCATCAGCTATCAGACCATGTGCAGGATCTCTCAGCGTTACGCTATCTAAACTAAGAATCAATCTGCAGTTTAGGCACTGATAACAAATGGTTTACCTATGTTTAACAATGCTGATCTCATACCTCTTTGGGGACCTGTAAGATTCAGAAATAAAATTATAATTAATAATAAGTATACAGCTTTCAGTTTTTCTTTATAATTGGAATCACTTTTTTAGCAACCTATAATAATTGTTACATCCAGTAATGCAATATAAGGAAACAGTGGGGCTAGTTGTCACACTTTTTATGCAAGTGAATATTTCTCAGGGAAGGGTTTATTTTTAAGGTTGACTTTCTCTATAAAACATAAATTACAGCCTATAGTTAGTGAGGTAAAGCCAGTGTGACAACTTGCCCCAGTCTCATCTATAACATGGAAATATATTTCACAAAACAAGAGTTTATTCTGAATCCTGATACACAAAAAGCATTTTAAAGCTAATTCTTCAGCAATTAATCAAAACTATTTAGCTACTTATGCCCATATCAAATGAGTTTTCTACCTCATAAATGGCAAATCCAATCGTCTCCATGTCTTTGCCCTCCCGACGTAACTTTCTGCGATTCTTCTGCATCAGGGCCACTAGAAAAGTGCATTCATCTTGATTTTGAATATCTGGTTCCTTCAAGACTATTTTAAACTGGGGATTGATCCAAAATGTTGCTGTGTAGAGAGAAACAGACTTTAATGTGAGAGCACTGTCACTCATGCCAGCTCACAAGCATCCTTTCATAAGAGACGAGAGCATGCCTGGATAATTCCTGCAGCCGCCAGCAGTGCTTCCTCTTCTCCATTCACCAGGATACAGGGACGTGCTCCACTTCTTCACCTCGCTGCTCTGTAGCGCATCCGCTGTCAAGTTGCAGATCTCTAGTCTGCTGAACTCTCGCATGAAGTCACTGAACGACATCCTGTGTGTGTGGGAGTGAACAATACTTATATTTAAAGCTTAAAATTATGGTTCAGAAGATATTGGAAAAAAGACTTTCATTATAATTATGGAAAAAAACAGCTGAAACATTCTTCAAAATATCCTCTATTGTGATCCACAGAAGAAAGGAAGAAGGAAATGTATGAAAAAGTAATATGCAAGTTAGGAACAGATTCCATTGAAACATACCAGAATTCTCCATCCTCTTGGCAGTTGTGCAGACGGGACCTTACAGATGGGTCGATTTCACGCCATTCCTTTGACCTGAATTGACAGATGGTGAGAGTATTCAGCAAAGCTTTCTGACATTATTCATTGTTATTTTAGGAATAATTTTCCCTCTTCACATCATTCTTCTCACTCATCGCTCCATGGCCCCATCCACTCCACTTCTCCCCAAGGGTTTCTGATGCGCAGCAGCTTTGTGAGGTTTCTTCTGTACTCCACCTGGCCAACGCCAACATCTGCCAATTATGAGTCAACTATGATTGGATGAGTTTCTTGTCAATCAAAATCCAACACTCACCTCCTCCACTCCAGTAATGGAGTAGGCATGGCCTTTTACTAGCTTTTTAAAGGTGATAGCCTCCATGTCAAAGAAACTTGTAATCTGAAAGTGAAAATAAAATAAAGTTGAGTACTTTTGAATTCATTAATAACAATCTAAATATGAGAATCTAAAGTTAGGTTGGCATGGCCTCTGCTGGTAGATGCTGAAATTACACCATCTAAAGCATTTCTCTTCATTGACAGTCATTCAAAAGTATGATATCCAGTGATTATATTATATTACACTATATTAAATTATAAACTATATAAATTTTTGGAAACTAATTGGAAATTAATTTTATTTTACAACTCCCTCAGAGTTAAACAGTTGAGTTTTACCGTTTTCGAATCCATTCAGCCGATTTTCTGATATTTAGAAGAATATCAGTAACCAGACATTGACTCATTGACTTCCATAGTAGGAAAAAAAATATACTATGGAAGTCAATGATACCAGTACGGAGGCGTATTGCATTCACTTGAAGAAAAAAAATCTACTCTGTTTTTTTGAATTAACAAGTTAATTATCTCAGAATTACGAGATAATTTTTCATGGAAAAAAGTTTTTGCTCTGTTTTTCTGAATTAACGAGTTAATTTTTCATGAGAAAAAAAAAATTATGCTCTGTTTTTCTGAATTAACTCGTTGATTCAGAAAAACAGAGCAAAAAAAAAATCCATGAAAAATTAACTCGTTAATTCAGAAAAACAGAGCAAAAAAATTTTTTTATCATGAAATATTAACTCATTAATTCAGAAAAACAGAGAAAATTTTTTTTTTCTCATGAAAATTAACTCGTTAATTCAGAAAAACAGAGCAAAAAAAAAATTCCATGAAAAATTAACTTTTTTTTTTTTTACGCCTCCGTAGACCAGAAATTGTCTGTTTACTGATATTCTTCTAAAAATTACAAAATCAGCTGAATACATTCGAAAACGGTAAAACCCAACTGTTTAACTCTGGGGGAGTGATAAAATGAGCCTATTTCCAAAAAAGGTGGAGTATCCCTTTAAATGACTGGATTATATTTATTTGAAGGCGGGCTCTAAAAAGCTCGAAATGGACTAATATTTTATGTCTTTTATGAATTCAGGTTGATTGGGACACTTTTACCTCGTTTCCACCAAAAGAGACCTGCTTCGGAACTGGTGCTGGTTCAAAGTTGGTTCAATTTGCGAAACTTCTCAGAGAACGACGTAACGACGTAAGCATGACATGGTAAAAGAACGGTTCCAGTCCAGCAAAGAGTTGGTGGAGTGAAATTGGTTCCACTTTGCAACCAATTTTCCTGACCGAGAACCGGTTCTTTGGCTGTCGAACCACAAAGAACTGGTTCGCGAGTTGGCACCGGCTCCGAATGCTTTGATGGAAATGGGGTATTTGTGCCATTGAACTTCCAGAGAAAAAAGTTTCCCAATTAACCTGAATTCACCTAGATGTTCAAGACACAGACTTTTCCAGATATTACAGATTGATTGGCTAATGGTCATGCTGTTCCTGAGCACTAACATCTATCGAGCAGCCCATCAGGGAGCCTCTCTCCACAGCTCTTCTGATGATGCTGAAGAGGTTGGCTGGAGCTTTTTTTAGCTCATACATCTCTGTCACTCCACCGGTGAAGTCCTCAAACCCCTCGGACGTGCAGCCTCCGGAAAGAGCCTCATAGCAGCCGTTCAACCTGTCACAATCATAACAACGAATGCATTACACAACCAAACAAGATCCTGGTCTAAAGTCTACCATGACTGAGGCCTTCTTACTTTGCATAAGCCTTCTCCACCAGGGCGCTCCAGAACTCTGCTCCCTCGGCCGAGTGGACGAAAAGCAGCTTCCCATCTCTGACAGGCAGCCGGTCGTCAATAACCACGTCCACCCAGTCCCCGAACTGCCAAAACTAGAAAACCCAGTAGGAAATACATTGCATTTAATTCTCAATTCACATCAAACAGGAATCAAAGAGTCTAGTCTGAAGCTTTATCTTTTTACTCTAGATTTGTTTCTGTGGAAATGTTCACAATGCCTAAATGCATCCATGTCTGACATTGATGACAGTTGGTGATTTCGCAACTTTTCAACTACAAGTTTGACGAAGACGTGAATGTTTTTTACTAGTCAGGAGCACGTAATTATGATAATACTGACATGACATGAATGGAGCATTAACCAGTGCAATTAATGGGGGGATGGGTGTATTATATTTTTGGCATTCACATGATGCGTTAAATGTCCCAGATCACAATCCTCACTATCAGGCCTGTCTTATATATACACTCAGCAAAAAAGTCCCTTTTATACTGCATTTAGTAAAATCCAAATAAGCTTTGCAGATCGTTATTGGAAAGGGTTTAAGCAAAGTTATTCATGCTTGTTCACTGAACCATTAACAATTATTTCACCTTAGGACACTAACAGTTTACAGATGGTCGACAATTAAGGTCACAATAACAATAACGAATGCATTCTACCATTATACTGACACCTACTTTTGTTATTGACTAACTGATTTCTGAATTCATCACAGACTAAATGACATTTTAAAATATTTATGTCCTGCTATTTCACAGTATTAGTGTTTTACTGTATTTTTTTATATCAAATAAGCCTTGGTGAGCAGAAGAGATTGGTAGTGTATATTACTTTGTTCATTTTTTCTCTATGTAAACATTAGTACAGTAGGTGCTGCTGGCTGTTCTCCAAGTCTCTCTGCAGCACTAATGCTCTGAACATTACAAGCTGAGCCTAAATGGCTCCTGGCTGGACAACAGAAGGGGAATTTGGCAGAGAGGAGTGAGAGATGTGGCCATTTCATTTTCTGGGTGAGGCTTGTATATATAGTCACTGCAGCAGACAGGGTGGGTTGAGGTTTAGGGACTGTGGCTTAAAGTAGATCTGCTGAGCTATGGAGAATCAAATGGAAGGGGAACCGATCAGTTTACATGCTGCATTGGAAGGAGAGAAATGTTTGGGATTTTTCACAAAAAACAGGGCTCAGGAAATGTGTCAGGAGATTAACTAACAGGTTCTAAATCTATTTACTTAAATAATTGTAAAAAAAAAAAAAAAAAAAAAAAAGCATTATCTTGTGTGACTAAGTGTATAGATTACCTCTAAATGATGTCTCTCTTTTATAGGTAATTGTAAATTATAATAAAAAAAGAGCAATAAAAGAGCAATTTGGCTGGTCATACGATCATATATAATTGTAATATATATATGTATAAAATTGGAATTAGAAATATAAAATAAAAAACTTAAAATCTGAATGTACACTGCTCAATACCTGGAAGTGAAAGATCCCAGCATATTGTTGATGGAAGCTCTGGCCATGAGGCACCACCCGATGCAGCAAGGGTTCATTGAGGGTGAGGCACGCAATGGCTGCCAGCAGCCAACAATCTCCTACAATATAAAAATAACAAGTGTAGAGAAACAGATGGGAAACATGCTTCATTGCTGCTGCAGCAAAAAACATCCACTTTCTAGTTAATTGGCAGGAAAGCATCCATGCCATGTTTCAGTTCGTCATTGATTTTATTCTGTTTTAGTAGATGCTTGTTTTACCTAGAGCTCCTTGGCAGATGTCTGTGCGAGTTGCCCCATCTACGATAAAGTGGGGATCAGTGCAGAAATCCTGGGGTACATAGAGAAGGCCTATGGGTCAGACAGGGCATACAAATGACTGGAACATCTCTGCTTATTGAAAGATAAATAGTTGGTTAGTTGATCCACCAGTGTTATCTTTTTACTGTATTTTGCAAGTAAAAAGTGCTTTAGAATTTTAAAGCCCAGTATGTGAGCAAAGACTTTACATAATTTATGTACGCTAATGTCTTTTGATCTTGCTATGGTTGAAATACTGGCCCACACTACAGACTCCCAGTTTAATCTAATATTCTCACCGTCGGCCTCATCCAGCGAACACCTTTGGTTTTGGCAGAGCCGGGGCCCAGTTCTTTGAATCCTAAAGAAGACGGCTGGGCTGGGAATGTTTCATCCTCAAATAGACATCCACTCTGAAGGCAGCGGTCACGCAAGTATTCAAAATCTTGGCCCAAAAATTTCAGGGCCATATGGTTTTGACCAAATCCCTCATTTCGATCCCATTCACTCCTCAAACGAGCAGCGATTCCAGTGGCACAGATTTGCTCCATCCAGGAAAGAACTGTCAGAGACACAAAATATATGGATCACTGCTACATCACATCACTTTCACATCAAATTCACTATTCCTTAATTTACAACAGTCTAAAAATCCAAAGTTAATTGCTTTGATCAATCATAGCAGCAACATATTTATTTATTTATTTATCATCTACCCCAAAAATGTTATGATTTAGAAGCAGATGTAATGTAAAAATTTAAATGGAAATTAAAATCAGGGGAAGAAATCCTTCCACTCATTATGTTTACATGGTTGGTGGTTGTTGACAACTACTTATGAAGAGAGTGAAATATTTGACAACGACAAGAGACATACTTTTAAGCTTCTACCTAGTGTACAATTATTGTACCTTACCTTAAAACGACACTCTCCAAATCCTGTTATGACTGTCCTTGCAATGAGGTTCTGTTTAATTATTTTAGCCTATACCATGTAGGCTTGTTGTCCTAGCATGTGAATGAAGGCAGCTTGTAAAGACTGCAGTGGAGAGTGCGCGCACGCGTCTGGTTCCGAACGAGACAAGCAGATATATTCCTCTAGAGGGCGCAAGGGTGCTGGAGACATTCAGGATATTATATTGTATATTAGACATACAGGATGTATAATTTATACAGGTTTATAAATTCTAAATTGTTATTGTGCTTCAGCGTCAAGCAACTTCTTACCGAAAATATTAAACTATGGCTCCACAAAATTCATTTATGCAATGTGAAGAGACTACAGGTTACAAGCATCATATATTAAAAAAATGCAATAATAATAATAAAAAAAAACACATTTTTAATGGCTCGTTGTGAAGGTTGTTTCAGATCAACACCTGCAATTGACCACTAGGTGTCGCCATGGAGACGGGTGTCGGATTGATTCGAAGCCTCGATGTTTGTTTCACTGAACATACAGCATACCTTGACTGCACCTTGTATTTTCCAATTTTTACATATCATGATTACACATTATTTCAGGGGTAAATATATTCTCTATCTCAACATTATTTTTCTCCTGTCTATAATAATTTTCTCTTGTTTATTGGTACAATAATTAGTTTTGAAGTGGCAGTGATTTGCAGCTGGTAATGGATGGTAAAAAGGTTCTATGGAGTAAGACAGTGCCCTAACTTAAAAAAGAATTTAACAAATGAACGTGAACTTAGTTCATTTAAAAAAAAATGAACTATGAACATGAACTAGTTCATTATCATCTGTGTGAACTGAACTTTGAGCTAGTTCTTTTAAGTATGAACTGGCACAACACTGTAGGCTACATAAATGCCCAAAACGGGGCAGCAAAGAGCTGTAATAATGTGGCTGCCATTTAATTTGTGGTTTAAAATATTGCACAACCTATAGAGAGAATCAAAATGATCTTTTCCTTTGATGGAAAGCCCTTGGATTTCTTTAGTCTCCAGAGCTAGATATTTTGTGCCGACAACAACATTCTATGTGTGTTTGTTTGTCTGGGAACGATGGTGTCTGATTACAGTATATATGAGAGATAATGAGATCATATCAGAAGAGACTATAACATGTACTTTACTCTATACTATTTTGTTCTTGAATTTGCTTGTCAGGCATCCTAAATGTATTGGAAGTGGGAATGTGTAGTGTGTTGCCCGAGTTTAGTAAAAGCAGTCATTAAAATCCAAGACAGACAGTCTTTAAATAGTGAAGACATTATAACCTTGGTTCAGCTTTATCCGAAAAGATTAAAATGTAGAAAGTGTAATAAACTCTGGGCTTTTTTGATTAATCCTTGGCAGTCTGCATGTTTTAGGACTGGATGTCATGAAACTTCACTTCTTTCATGGCTCCAATCTGTCAGGGAGAGATAAATTACAAATGGTGCCAGTGTGGGTGGCTGCAGTGTTTTAGGAGCTGCCACTACCATAATAGATTCAAGTGGGTTGCGTTTTAAAAATAGATAGATAGAAACAGTAAGAGGGTAGATTAGAGTTTATGATTATGACTTGATTCAATACACATTTATTTGTATAGCACTTTTCATGCATATTGTTTCAAAGCAGCTCTACAGAAAATACATGTCTATTACAATTTTATATTAATCTGTTACCAGAGAAGACTGTGTCCAAGTAATGCATTTCATAAAAGAACATATACAAATCCCATAGTTAGCTGTTAGCATTGAAGTAATTACAAGTTGTGAACATAATGATTTATAATATATAGAAAATGTATTGGTGCATGTTGATTCAGAGATTGCATCATCTTGAGTCCTCGCAGGAGTTTGAGTCATTTCAAGATGTCTCTTCACAGGTGTTGCCGGGGCATCTAAAGTTTTTAAGAAGACTGGATCCAAACTGGATGGCGTCCTCTCTATGGGCATCCTGAGATAAAACAGAAAAGGAAGAAGAATGGAATTAGCATAGCATGCTGTTTATAACATTTCAAGCAAAGATAATCATGTGCATTTGATCTGATATAACTGGAGTAGAAGGTTATGAGATGCATTATGTGAATGCTTCTTGGCAAAAGAGATGTGTCTTTAATCTAGATTTAAACTGGGAGAGTCTGAGCCACAAATATCAGGAAGGCTTAGGAGCCAAATGCGAAAACGCTCTCCCTCCTTTGGACTAAGGTATCCTAGCTACAACCAGAAGTCCAGAGTTTTTGTGACCTTAAAGAGCGTGATGGATTGAAGATTGGTAAAATACACAGGACATGAGCTAAACCGTTTAGGGCCTTAGGATATAGTCAGTAGGCCTAGCAATGCTTTTAATAATGCAGTCCTAATCAATAGGCCCACCAAACTTAATATTATTGTCTATCATTTCTTAAACATTTAAGTTAGTAAATTTTTGCAAGTGGCCCAACTCAGTCAACAGACTAACCAGGTCATCTAAGACCAGCAAACCATCTTAGACTGGTTTACAGGGTGAACTGTAAACTGAAAATAAGAATTTTCAGACACAAGCCAAATGCACATGGAAAGGTAGCCTAGCCTATACATTGATGATTGATTAATCTTGTGCTAATACAACATAAGTGACTGCCAAGTGATATTTCTTTAAAAAAAGTTAGAAAACAAGTTTATGTTTTTGTTTCTTATTTCGAATAGCTGACTTTAATAGTAATGACCTAATGCAGATAGCCTACAAGAACAAGAGACCCGTTCAGTTTTGTTCACTAGCTTGAAGTAGGCTACGTGCGTCTTTAACGAGAGGCGTTGCTTTACTAGCCTATATGTTTTTAAAAAAGAGATTTCCGCTTCCTGCTGCTGTTTTACACGCTCTATTGATCACAACAAGTCAGAGAAGCACTGAACGCAGCAGCAACTAAGACTGAGTGAAGTCATATGAATCCACCACTAAGCGGAGGAGGCGGGAACGTCAAGAGGCTCGTGCCATGAACGTGTCATCATCATCATCATTCCAAACGATTATAGGCACGAGCGAGTGTCTAAACTGAGCGAGTAGAGTGGCAGCACACACAGATCCCGAGACTTCCTTCAGGATGTCGGAGCGTGGAGGTCTTCAGCAGCAGCAGCAGCAGCAGCAGCGAGCGGGAGCTCCGTCTCCACACCTGCAGCATCTCAGGACGGTCACGATTCCTTCGGGTCGCCCGGTTCAGATGAACCTGTTCGCGACATGGGAGATTGACAGCTCCTCTCCCAGCTGTGTGCCCAGGTATGCCGCGTCTCACTTACTAGTAGACATGCGCTATTTTTGTACAGCCACCGATTGAGCTACTTTGTATTCGAGTAAATGGTTAATCCCAATCACGCTGCTGGAGATCACATGAAACTGTTGTTTCTTACTTTAGTTTAGACAAGGGGGCTTTCAATCTCACACACCCAGCCCCAGAGACTCCGCAAAGCCGTTTACTTAAACACACACACACACACACACACACACACATGTATATTTGTTACTTGTTCTTGGCCTATTTTTAAATTACTGAAAGATTCATTAAGTTCACTTACAAGTAACTGTCATTAATGTATTTAGTTTATAAGCATATAGACAATATTTAGTCAAGGTTCTCCTCACTATTCCAGTAATGCCTTGTTTTTATATTTTACCAGAAAGAAAGTTTCGTTAAGGCTATATTAGTAGGCTAGATAACATTTATTTATATTATGGTAACACTAATTTTTAAGTCACCATGGATAAAAGCATCTGCTAAGTGAAAGAATGTAAAATGTAATGTATGTTCAATATGAATACAGCAAAAGCTGCAAAAACATTTCAAATTGATTGAAATGATGATATACTATGCGGCCCTAGAGGGCCCCTGGTTGAAAACCCCTGGCTTCGGACAGTAGCTGATACTGACTGCTGATCTTTTTCCATTATGTTCTAACTTCTAGTCATAAAAAGTGTACAGAATGTAAGCAGTCTGTTCAAATCAACATGTCATCCTTACATTTGTAGAGTGAAAATGTCATTTGAGGTTGTTGCCGCAGTGAAAACTAGTGTGAAAAGAGTTACAAAACAATACATCTCCTTTGCATGCTTGCAGTAAAATGGATGCATTTGCTGTATACTATACATCAATGTACAGCCTCATTTCTTCCATAAAGGGATTGTGATACAGACGGCTAGTCTGGGAACGCCCCCAGGAACGCCCTCGGGTACGCCCCGTGATGTGATGTAAATTTAGCCCGTGGAAAACAATAGGTGTGTTCGACATCGGCTGCGGCTGGATGTAACCGATCGGCGAGGAGGAGTTGCAAACGGAGACGTGAAGTCGGACACTTTCTGGTTCCCGTAGTACATACACTGATATTTCAGACACATTTTCATTTAATACTTTTGCTGCCTATATCAATGAGTGGAGAACAGTTGTGTGTCATCAGAGCTTGTGCAGCTGCTCTTGAGAAGGTGCGCTGGCTGAGTTCTCCAGCTACTCTCGAAACGCTCTTGCGGTACTTTTAAACGTCACATTCATGTGGCGTCGGCGCTGCATCAAGTCAGACAAAATTTCTAACCGGCATGCACTGTTTCAAGTCAGCCGCCAATCGGTCTGCGCCATAGACAGAAAAAGAAATGGACACACAGCAACCCCATTGATTTCAACTGAGAAGACTGAAGCCTGATTATTGCACTTCCTTCCTGATGTCTAAGCGACTGCGCAGGATCAAACTGAGCTTGACGACAGTCTGACAATTGTAAATCTTCTAGTAGCTGTGCCAAGACAAATCTGAATCGCCTAATATCTCAAAAACGTTATTGAAATATTTTGTCCCGTTGCTTTTATGGACTCTCTATCTATGGGCTTCTCCTTTAAATTTTATGCCTCCATGTCCCCCCAATTGCCTCATAGACAGTAAAAGATTGCCTGCGAGCTTCTCCTGCTGTCTTTACGGTAATGTCTCTATTGTGCGACAGAAAGTCCCATGGTTATGATGTAATCTTTAGCCTATTTTTACAAAAACGGCTTCTACGGGGCCGTAACGTAAGATACAAAGTAATGGACCGTTTTATACATTGCCGTGTTTCTTTAGAAATAAATAATGG